AGCTGCCTTTGCCTTTGGGTTGAAGGAAGAGGATGGAGGGTGACTTGTTCCAGATCCAAGCAAGAGAGACTCTACAGTTGCCATATAGCTCGCTGCTACAACTCATACACATAAAATCGTTGTCATATATGAATCCAATCGTTGGGTGATTGAAGGCGACGAGGCTGCGTTTGCTTCTTAGAGGGAGGGGGGAGAGAAAGTAAAAACAAATCTCACAAATTAGAGAGGTTATCAAAGCCAGTAAGGGGAACACCAATGAAAAATACAAGGGATTATTGAGAGAAAAACTGAGTTTTTTTTGTTTAAAAGCTATCGAAGTATCAATGAATTTCCAATATAGGAGAATTCAGAAAGTAGAGAGATAGGTACCTGATTTGACTGGAGAGATTATTAGGAACAAAGGGAAGCCAGCGTGTATACGGAGGTGATGACAATAAATCGATTGACTGATAATTTGAGAGAGAAAGAGAAGACCCACTTGCTAGCGATTTGGATGAATAGCTGGCTTAGACTAAGGTATTTGAGGCTGTCGATCAGTTTTAGGAGAGAGACTATGAACGATATCTATGGTATAGAAGAAGAAGAAGACGGCGACGACTTGACTTTCTTGTTCACAAGATCATGAAATTAAGTTTTACCTAGTATTTTTTGGAGAGAATCGCTTGAATGTGGGGTGAGAGAATCATGAAGGCGAACCTTCGGAGAAGATGGAGGAGTGTAGGAGAATGGGGGAGAGACGAAGCATCGAATGGCTGAAAACCATAGTAATAGTTATAATTCTTAGGGCACGCTATTAGGGAAATAAAGATGACCCAAGGGCAGAAATTTGTGGAGAAAAGAATGTTGACCTCCGTATGGCTGCCATCTAGTAACAACGCTATTGATGCCATTCCTTCCATTTTCGACTGTTCATCCTCCACTTCCTCTACTGCTACTTCTTCACCATCTTCTATTTTTTCTGTATTTAGACTTGAGAGTATAATTAGGGCTTTTTCTAACAATTTCAACATCGAGTGGGAGATATGGTGGTTCCAGTAGGTAGAAGTGAGGGAAGAAGTAGGCAGCAGTCAATGTCGGGAGGGGGAAGGAAGGAGCATCCATAATTTGGGCAAGAGGGAAAGGAGAAAAAAAAGGAAGGCGGGATTTTTAATTTTTTCAGAATTTCATTTCCCCCTACTGTTAAAGGATGGAACGCGCGTTCCATTAAAAATTATAAAGCGACATCCTTAGACGACGCGCAATTTATTATAGGTGCCCTCCGTGTTTTTTTTAGACACTAATTTAAGGGCGCGCAGTAATGCCTGTCTTCTATCCTTAAATTTTTTGAAGAGATGACATTTTTCTAATGTCACTCTCCTTTGCGTAACATAGATCAATGAGCGTCGTATTTTGCGCGTCGTAAAAGGCCTTTTTTCTAGTAGTACTAGGTGGTCAAATTTAACGATTATACTTTTAATTCAATTAAATATAACCAAAACTTTTATGGATTTATTAAACCTCTTTTAATTATACACCTTAATTAATTAATAAAACCATAAGGGTGTGATATGAACTTTTCAAAACACTACTAGGGTTTTAGAATTTAACATTCGTAGATTAAGCTTTTAATCAAAATTTAAATTCCAAAACTTGAGGACAAGTTTTGAAACATTTCAAAAGCTTAGGGTTTAGAATTTAAATATACATCAAAATTAAAATTTTAATCAGAATTTAAATTCCAAAACTTGAGGGAAAGTTTTGAAACCTTTTCAAAACATTAGGGTTTCAACTATTTAAATTTCAAAACTAAACTTTTAAGTTTAAATTTAAACTATAAAACCTAAAGGGGAAAATTGAAACTTATCATAATACAAGGATCAAATAACAAATAATATAAATTAAACAATTAATTTCATCATTATCTATATTTGACCTAATTTTAATTTCTTGCAAAATAAGTTACCCAATTAATACAAATAATCAAACTTTATCATATAAGGAAGTAATTATCTAATTAATTGGTAAATATCTTGTGTTTAATCAAGGATATACTCATAAAATTGATTAAAATCAGATTTTATTGATCTAAAACAGATAAGGCAATTATCCATGAGAGAAACAGCAAGAAATCCCGAAATCCCCTCTTTCTGTCGCTCGAACTCGCCGAGTACCCATATGGACTCGCCGAGTTCATCAGCCAGTTTCACAAAAACCAAAATTTTCAACTTGAACAAACATACAAGGCATCAATACAATAGAAACCAATCAAGGCTCTGATACCACTGATGGGTTTTAGCTATAAGAACATCCTATGTGCTCATACAAACCCTAGTGCTTGGATCTAGGTTTCTCTATTGTACATGCAATTTATCCAAGACTATAAACCCTAGATCTAGCATATGATAACATATAATTAGGGTTTAGATCATACCTTGATTGTTATGTAGCAATAAAAATCGCAAATCCACCTTGTAATGACTTTAGAAAGCTTAGAGTCACAACTGTCACTCCTCTAATGGTTCACAAACACCAAGAGCAAGAGGATGAAGAAGAGAAGAGAAGGAGGCTCTCAAAAACATGTGGAAACCCTATATTTTCAGTTCACCACGTTTTTGGAGCATAAGGGTTCTCTATATAGTGAGGCTATTAGGGTTATCTAACAAGGAAACCCTAATTTGGATGCTTAAGCCCTAAGCAACCCATAGACTCCTTTAATTAAAGGCCTTGGACGATTTCTAATGGGTTTGCCCATAGAATTCGTCCAACCTTATAATATAAGGCAATCCATAACCCAATTGCAATTATTTTATAATTACAATTCTAGTCCCTTAAGTTTAATTAATCTCTTTTAGTCACAAACTTAATTCTTATTAATTCTTGACTAATATTAATTAAACAATATGATTTCTCCTTTACTATATTATTGTCATAATATATTAATAAATCATATTTATCCTTTCTCTCCATAATTCATCCTATCAAGTTGCTTTGGTGAAGGCAACCCAAAAGGACCATGCACCATCGGGTCAAGTACATACCAAAATAGGTATGGACTTAGACAGTAATCTAACACTTGAGGGTATAATGTTCTTTATATTATGGCATACCCTAAAAATTAGGGTTGGGGACTCTAAGCATACGTTGAGCATACTTCTCATATGATGGGCGTACACCCCTCCGCACCCGCGATCACTTAACCCTTCTACGGTGGGCATACACTTGTGATGACCACCTTGCATGCATGGTCCTTTCTTTCCATCTTTCTCCATTATGGACCAATATTGCCAATAACTTCAAAGTGCTATAATTCCTCTATTCTAAGTTCGTTTCCGATGAACATTATACCCACGAAAAGGTGGCGAGCAGCCCTACGCTCCTAACTACACACCCAAGCCTTAAAACTTTTATAATAAAATCAGGGACCGATAAAAAACCGAATTGCTTATGCCCTCAGCCTCTGAAACCACAACCGATGTACTTTTCAAACCGAGGTGTTACAATAGGGGTTGAAAATGTCGTCTGTATAGACATCATTCCTTGTAGTGAAACATCAAGAACATGAAGGGTAAGCCTGTAAACCTAGATCTAGAAGAAACCAACCAACAAGATCTGAAAAAGGGAACTTACAAAGGTTTGGATGGTGATCCCAATGGTAATATGGAGTTTCTTGCTTGATCTTTACACTCAAAACTTATTATTCTTTTTCTTCTTCCCTCAAAGAACACCAAAATCACGAAAATGAGCTCAAACTTCCAAGGAGGAGGTTAGGATTTCTCAAGGATTAATTGGAGTTAATGGAGGTTGAGGATGAGAGAAACCTTACACATCACCTCCCTTAAATATGACCGTAATTCCGAAAATTAGGGATTAGCTCATCTGTCATTGCCACGTCATGGCACATATGTTGTCACGTCGTGGTAACCTTAGTGGAATATGCGCCAACATATATATATATATATATATATATATATATATATATATATATATATATACACACACTTATAAATCCAAAAAATTCACATATACACCGAAATATATAATTTAATCATAATTAATCTATCTTTAAAATCAAATAGATTTTTTTAAAATTAGGTTATAAGTAAATTACTGAAATACTCATTTGCAATCCTTTCGACAATCGAACTCTTTACTTGTGGTTATTCACTAACTAAATTACTAAAATACTCATTTGCATTCCTTCCGACATGGTTATTCACGACTTGATATCTTATCGTTTTATATTCTACATAATCGATTAGCAAAACCAGATTGTTGTATTACTAAATGGTTCCTAAACAATATATTTTATTTCCTACATTCAATTAAGGAGACATGTGGTTATTCTCCTATTAACAATTTTGTTAACAAATGTATCCATAATCGGTGATTATGAATTTGGGATGGAGCTTGAAACATTCAATTGACCTTAACTATGTTATCGATCTTCATATGTTAAGTAGCCATCAATGTCGACAATGGAAATACTGTATGATAATTATTCTGTATAAGGATGGTGTAAAGAAATATGGACTAATCAATTATGGATTTAATTTCAGTTTGGTGGAGGTTTTCATGCAGCTAGGTAAGTAGGCTGAATTTTTTATAGGTGATTAGAACCAATAACACCTGGCAGAAATCGAACATGAAACGTCATGTCTAATTCGAACGAATATGGAGCATCGAAAACTCGATGAATCCAACTTTTCTAAGTATTCTTACACTATAAATCTCGGGCAAATAAGACATGCATTATGTTCCATATTACAACTTCAACACTTAGCCAATTATCTGATCCCCAACAATTGTTTTTACCTTTCATTGACAATCCTTAAAGATTTTCACAGGGGTTACTATAATTATCAATACCACTAATTGAAAGGACATGCAATGTTTGAAAGATTTCCATTAGACTAGAATCCTATTCATAAATCTCGCCATACACAACAACATAGTCAAGTTATGATTGTTTTACCCTTTGGGAAGTAAAAGAGAATGCGTAATTCCAAGATGCATACTCAGTTTCACTTGCCAAAATACAACCGGATATCATTCAGATTAAATGCTATGCGGAAATTGTTGCTTGGCTTGCCAAAGATGCGTGCATATGTCGACTGAAATAGATCAACTATGATGGGGATCTGAAGAGTACTAAACACTGCAATCGGGAGGAAAGCTAATACACAAATTGGAGCAACCATCCATGGTCTTTGATAACAAAAGACAAGGTACAATGTTGTGCCGAAGGCCACCATCATTGCAGTTGTAGATAGGAGCAAGGTGACAAGACCAATAATCATTCTTCTTGGAAGACGGTGTAGGAAATCTTGCTCAGAAAAACATCCGGTGAGGATCGACAAGAACATTAGTAATGTTGTACTGGATGCAAATAGTGACATTGCATCTGATACATCATAGATGGTGAAGGCAGTGTTATGTATAAACAAAGGGATGCCAAATTCTTGATTGATTCCACCTGGCACTTTAATGGCTGCTGCAAACACTATTGTGGTAATTAGTCCTGCGGTGATGCTGCATGATTCTGCTACAACTTTCATCCATTTCTCTCCTTCCTTCATCAAATTCTCGTGTTCCCGTGTGAACACCATATCTGGTGTCTCCTTAAAAATGTTCTCTTTGGTAATGTATGCTGGAAATATGAGTTTATTGACTTCCTATTCAGAATTAATTTTACTCGATTATGATACTATATATACAATGAAAATATTAATTCTTTACAGTTCATTTAGGATGTAGTACCTTTCGCCATTGAAGCTCTCTTTGTAGTTGAAATTCTGCACCTATACAGCATTTGAGCTTCTGGGAAGGAGCTAATCTTCAAGCCAAGTGCAACATATTGTTCTTTAATGAATCTTCGATTGTTCCATAAATGCTCTTACGCTCTTCCGTGAGATAGATAAGGTTATAAATCTTTTCTGAACGATGTATTACTACTAACTGTATAATGTCATACCCTTGTTCATCTTTATACTGAATTGCTTCAGGGGATCTCGATAAAATCGCATCAACAACCTCATAATCATTTTTACGAGCAGCCACAAGAATGGGTCCGGTGTAATAGTGAGAATGAGCATTAGCAATATGGGACTTGTCTATTGCTTCACATACCAATTTTAGAACCTCTTTTGCTCTTTCCCGTTCCTTCTTTTTCTTCTCGATATGCTAAATCAGTGCAACTGATGCAAGTTACAAGAATAATCAGTTGGAGTAGAATCAATAAATTTATACTATTAGAAATTATATCTCTCAAGCTTAATTAGTAATGGGTTGATTAACTTTGTATGCTCTTACCGAATATTGCTGCAACCTTCCACAAGCTGAAATAAATCATAAAGAATGGGAAATAAACAATCAATATGACGAGGCACATCAATCGACAGATCCATATAAGCATGAACAGTGGAACTGCAGAAGCACAAAATGTTTATTTGAAAAAATGCAATATACTTTGTGAATTCAGATATATGCTTAATTCCCAACTTGTATGGACTTGTTAGTAGCAGCTCACCACCTAAAATGATGAATACCAGTAGTATAATAAAATATATCACTTTTTCGTCCTCCAAGATTTGCTTGCAAATGAAATATGGGCTTACTAATATTAATAGCAGGCACTTAGCTCTTTCCATAATCTCTGTACAAATATTGTCCAAAACTAAAAGAAAAAAAAAGCGATAGTCAAGAAAAGGGAAAAAAGAATACAAAAGAAACTATATCTGGTACATTAGAAAGAAACTTACCTGGATATATAAGTGTTTCTCCAAAGTCTAGCCCGCTGGGAAAGGTTCTAGCTATTGCCATCAGTACATTATCATACTTAACAACAAATTCAGGATAATCTTTGACCAACTTTATTGCTAAATATGCATGCAAATTCAAAAGAATATGCAATATTGAAAGAAGTAGGCCTTTTGAGCGCGTATTTAGGTGATATATATATATATATATATATATATATATATATATATATATATATATATATGTTGGGAAAATTAGGGTTTGCGGTGGAGATCTGGATACCCGCTTGGAACGTGATATCACTTTCCGAACTGATATTTCTACCCTATGCCTGGGTTACAAGAAATTCAGCCTAGGATAATCCAAGCGGACTACGTTTCTAGGCACAGAAAACGTAAGCTATTATGCTAAAGGGTTCTGTGAATGTGTGATGAAAAACGAGAGGTAAAAAGAACGTCCGTCTTCTGAAAAGGATATATACTAAACACGATTAGGGTTTCATTAGGCGGGACCACAGCTAGGGGCTCTGCCCCTCGGACCCCGCTAGGGGAACTGCCCCTAGACCCCGCCAAAAGGGCGCCGCCCCTTTGGAAACCCCGGACCCGGGGGGCGCTGCCCCTGGACCCTCGACTAGTCATCGAACCGGCTTCTGACTCGATCTTATACATGCGTGCACTCCACACAACCCCGTACATGTATTAGAGTACAAATCATGAAGCCCCTTAGCTCACATGTTAGTTCCAGTTACTTAAAATGACATGGTGACACTAAAATCACAAACTATATATATATATATATATATATGTATATATATATATATATATATATATATATATATATATATATATGCTACGCACCATACTGCTTTGAAGAAACAACATTAACAAGAAGTTCGACGACGATTTTTACTCCAGGGTTAACAGAATCATCCAAAGAAGTATTTTTCTCTGGTTTCTCATTCCCCTTGGCGGCTTTTAACAACCATTCAACGGTATCGAGATGCATATTGTCAAAAGCTTTATGCAAAGGTGCTTCGCCTTTAAGGTCTTTTGTTACCAACAACTCTCTGTTTCTTTTAATCAAGAACTTTGCTGCTTATGTGTTGCCTACTATTGCAACAATATGAAGGGCTGTGCTTCCATTTTTATTTTTCATTTTAATTAATTGTTCAACTTTGATTAATCGTAACATTTCACTGACCATATGGTTCTTAACTATTCCGAAAGCTATATGAAGTGGCATGTTACCATCACTGTTGATTTCCTGTGTTAGTACATGCTTATTGCCGATTAGTATTATGTGCAGATCCCACCAACTCCCGTCCATAATAACTCTGCATAACTGCTTCTTGATCTTTTCATCACCTTTGGTTTCTGTTCCTTCACCTTTTATATTTGTTTCTGTTGGAATTCTATCTTGGCCGTTTCCATTTTTCTCGACTCGAACCGCGTCGTCTTGAGTTTTTGTTTCTTTTGTTACTGGTTTTGTTGGAACCTCATCCTTGTCTTCAGTTTGCTTTTCTTCTAATACCACATCTATGCAGGGGTGGATCCAACGGATATGTCGGGGTAGCACGGGATACCCCTCAAAAAAATTTCAGTAGTGTAATTTTTTTAGAAAAAATTCGTTTTGTGTAGTGTATATATATGCATCCCTTCACTTATAATCATAAACAAATACCTAGTCTATTGGTTAAGGTGTTGGCTTATTGAAATAAAGGTCTTAGGATCAATTTTTGTTTCTTACAAATCCTTTGTTTACATATCTTTTAGTTTTCCAACTATTCTACTCTTTTATTTTCTCAACTATTCTATCCCACATCCCCAAACACATGTAAACTTAGTTATTTTCATCTATTATATAATCTTCTTATCTTCATGCTTCATTTGATATCTACTTTAAGACCCACATCGATTAAAGTATCAAAAGACACTTCAACTTCATGTTTATATAACAACACTTGAAGTTAGCTAATTATTCGATTAAGGTTTGGGTCTAAAACCAAAACCAAATCAGAAAACCCAAGTACAGATTAAAAACCGAAACACCTAACCAATGGTTTTGGGTTCGGTTTGGTTTTAAAAATTTCAAAACCAAGGCTGTCGGTTTTGGGTTCGATTTTAGGAAAAACTAACCCGACCCGCTCCATGCTCAACCGTTGTGGTGATACCCCGAAAAAAAAATTGGGATACCCCTTTGCTTTGAGCCTGGCTCTGCCACTGCATTTATGCCTTCTGCTTCTTTTTTTCTTTGGAAACTGCATCTTTGTCTTTACTTGCTTCTAGTTTCGTTCGAGCTGAATCTACACACCCCTCTGACCTTGTGATTAAATGAGGAAATCAGTGTGTAACGAAAATTAACAAACTTTTGTATTCATCGTCACAAAGGTTTATAAACGTACGCTGTAACACCGTAATTTCAAAACAAATTTTCGTTTTAAAATAATCATATTATTCTTAAAAATACTTGTTTAAAAATCTCATTCATAATTGAATTACAAAACAGAACTCCATTTTCACTTGTATAGAGAACCAGGATCCTCCAAGACATGACTCCTTCTCTGGTGTGTACAACCAAGCCGGTGCCGTCCCGTGATACTGAAAGGAACCTGAAACAACATAACACAAACACTGTAAGCACGAAGCTTAGTGAGTTCCCCATAATACCTCACATATAACACATATAAGCCACTCGAGGCTATAACTCTATGGGTCCGTGCACCCAACTCTGTGAACCCTCAGGTTCTAACTCTAGGAACCCTTCGGTTCCAACTCTGCAAACATGCACAACATAAATCACATAGAAATAATGCAGTACAACACATAACATACATAGCATACAAATACTCTATCACATAACTCTGGTTACATACTCAAGGAAAAGTATAGTGAGAAGACTCACCTGGCAAGTAGAAAGCAGATATCCCCACACTTAAATCTTGAACTCGCCACCGCCTAATACGTAACACAAATACTCTCATGAATACAACTCTAGAGACTAGAATCAATCCTCTCACGACATCCTCTTAAGGGTAAAAGACTATTTTACCCCTCCCTTGGCCCAAAGGCCACCTCGCTGACCAAACCCTAAAAGTCAACGGTCAACCCTTGGTCAAAATCAAAGTCCTCAGTCAAAGTCAACCCCTAACTTACCCTACTCGTCGAGTCAACCCTTTGACTCGCCGAGTTCCTATGATCAGAACTTCACTCAATCCGCGACCCAACTCGCCGAGTCTCCCCGAGACTCGCCGAGTCCAACAACTCTGAGTCCACTCGCACACAACTCACCGAGTCATCCCTTGACTCACCGATTCTCGACTCAACCAGGGAATATCGGGACTCTTCGACAAGACTCGCCGATTCCAAGAACAGACTCACCGAGTCTAGGACTATCATCAACCTACTTGCCGAGTTGTTCATACAACTCGCCGAGTTCCAGACCATCTTCATCCAACTCGCCGAGTTGTTCTTCCAACTCGCCGAGTACCACCGGTCTAAATTCGTTTAGAAGCATTCCAGGCCATGGAATTGCTCCGAAACATGGATCTAGGCTCCTTTCACACATCCATCACGTAAGGTGGCAAACTTTACGTGAATCCAAGGAGATCTAGGCTATTGCACACTGGTTTAGGGTTTGGAACGTGCAAACTTCACTAAGCACTCCAACACATGGATTTTCATGCTCATTGGTTCTTCTCCCCTTCGGATCTGAGGTAGCAACCTCAGATCTAACCTCTAGACTTCCAATTACATCCATAGACAATTTCCCATAAACCCCAAAATGAAGAAACAACATAACAACAGCCCAAAAACGAGAACTTACCTCTAAGAGGTGTCCCAACTGTAATGCAATTCGAATCCAAGCAAAGCCCCTTGCTCCAAGCCTTCAATCCTCCAAAAATTCCTTCAACAATTAATTCTTAAACCTCCAATCCACTCAACAATGGTGCTTCATCGTGATTTAGGGTTTTCTGGGGCATGAGGGGTGATAAGGAGGCTGGGAGGAAATTATAATACCCTTTATTTAGAGCTCAACCCCGAGAATTAGGGTTTTCTCCACTCAGCGCCTACTCGCCGAGTCCACTCATTGACTCGCCGAGTCGGCTACTTAACACGCGACCAAATCGCGACTCTACTCGCCGAGTCCATCCATGGACTCGCCGAGTCACTCTTTCCGAAGTTACTCTTTTAGCCCTTCAACTCTACTCTTGATATTTCGGGATGTTACAATTCTCCCCCACTTAAATTAGGCTTCGCCCTCGAAGCCTACGACAACTCAATTCCAAAACACTCCCGCAACGCGCCACCTGGCTCTAACCCGACCAGGTTCGTCAAAGCATAACCATAGAACTCGAACTCACTTCCTCTTTCCTTACGGTGTCCTGAACACCGTCTCAAACCGGGCACCGACTGTACCCTCTACTAACCACACTCAACGATCCGAGAATTACCCATGAAGCATTATTGCCCCAAATCTCAACAATCACTTGACCTGTAAGGGCTAGAAAGCCATGAACCATCGGATCCCCGATCCGAATCCCACTCTATCCATCTCGTGCTGACAGAAAGACCCACTCTTCAATCTCAGAGTAACTCCCACGAGTTCTCCTCTTGCAATCACAAACGCAGGCTAAACTTGCCCAGCACCCTCAGGTTGGGAAACCCGATGCACTGATGATATCCTCCAACATGCCCCCAGGATGAACCACTAGTACATATCCAATACCCTGATCAGAACCAAGCTGGGAGTCCCAGACTCCCTTCCTGCATCCATCCTGAGACTCCCCGCTCCACTCCCGCGGAACCCCTTCCGCGTCCTCAGCAGACATCCCAACGTGATGTCATTCCATATCACTGTCACAGACACAGTGTTCAACCACCGTACTCCAAATCATCCACTATCACTACTACATTCACTTCCGTGAACCAACACTCCCCCTTCCCCCAGGGGTTACATACCTTTCTCTTCCCTTACCCAGGGAAACCACTAGCCAACCTTGTTACTACTCCATGTATCACTCATGCTTTGGTTCTACTCGTAAGGGCCCTCGGGTCCATGCGCTACCTCTCCCCAACATGAGGGTCCGACACCGCCTCCCACACAACAGCTCAAAGGGTGGCATACTAATGCACTAATGATGGCTGTTGATATAGGATAACTCAACCAAAGCTAAATACGTGCCGCAACTCCCTCCGAGATCTAATACACATGCCCGAAGCATGTCTTCGAGCGTCTGAATCGCTCGCTCGCTCTGAAGTGTCCTCAGACATCATCATGATAAGCTCTAGGTCACCTCTCATATCCCTCTTTGATATTGAGCACCAGGTCAGCTTTTTGACTCCACAGCTGAGCCTCTAAAGGTCGCCCATATCATGATCCCAATAACCCACTAACCTTCTCCCCGTGACCACTATCCTGGCCCAGGGACGCGCAAGTCACAAAATTCTCTTTTCCTCATGCAAGAAAATACAACCCAACCGAGGATCGCCTCAACTCTAATCTTTGGTTTCTGCTGCGCATATCCCTTGCACATTCCGTCTCATCTCCCGACAGAGACGGAGACCCCAGTCTCGCCCCCGGTTCAACACTCAGTCTCCAGAGCTCAATACTAGAGTTACACAAGCCCAAAACTCTTCCACATCATACACTGGTCGAAAATCATTCCATCATCACATCCTCTTGCCATCTAGTGAGTACTACGGCTCCCCACAGTATCACAACACCCTCTAACTAGTGAGTACTACGGCTCCCCACAGTATCGCAACACTCTCTGACTGGTGAGTACTACGGCTCCCCGCAGTATCGCAACACTCTCTGACTAGTGAGTACTACGGCTCCCCGTAGTATCACAACACCCTCTGACTAGCGAGTGCTACGGCTCCCCACAGTATCACAACACCTTCTAACTAGTGAGTACTACGGCTCCCCGCAGTATCACAACACCCTCTAACTCCACTAGCTCATGCTCCGCAGACTATCACAGACAGCTACCCATACTTGACTCG